TCCAAATCTTGATTATCTGCTCTGTTCTTGCTAAAATGTAAAAAAACTCCATAAAACGAACCAATGCAGCTTTTTTCTCTGATTTTATAAATTTGGCAGTGGGTGAACTTGAGGGTTTTTTTTTACTTTTCCTTTGTATTTTGAGAAAAAATCACTTCTTAAAAGAAATCTCTTGAATTCTGCTTTAATTTTTAAAATTAAGGAGTCATGGGAGCCAAGGGGCTGCTGGGAGTAGAAATCCAAAATTTAGGTTTTTTACACAATTTCTGTGTCATGGTGAAAAAAAAAAAAAATATATATATATATAATTAAAATAGAGGTGATTTGATGATTTTTCCTTGAGGTTGGATTGCTCCTGAAACATCATAATTTGATTTTTTCACCTGCTGAAACATCATAATTTCATTTTTTCACCTCTCCTGCTAAAGAACCTGAAATGAGGATTTTATGATGGGATCAATTTAGGTTGGTTTTTTTTTTTTTTAGGATCAGCACTAATTTGGGATTGTTAATGATGGATTGATTCCAAATTTGGGGGAATTGGTTTGCCTTGAAATAAAAATTGTGGTTTTATTACCCCTGAGAAGGGAAATCCAGGCTGTTTTCTTCTGGCAAATGCTGGGGGGGTTATTCCTGCAGCAGGAAAATGAATTTCCAACTAATTTTAAAAATTTTTCAAAAATGCCTGAAAGAGGATTTTCCGTCTCCTGGCTTCTCTCAGTGAAAACTGAATTTAATTCCTAATTAAATTCCCTTCATGACCTAATTCCAGCAGGTTTTTGGGACTGTCACCTCAAGCCACCTCAAAACTCATTTTTAATTCACCACAAGCAATTAAAAAAAGCAAAATAAAAATCTTAATTTTGGGAGGTGAAATATTGATAGAATTAATTATTTCTGGGACTGCCTTTTATGGGTGCACAGCTGAGGGTTGAAAAAGCCACTTAGGAATGATTTGTGTGATAAATCTGAATTTATTTCATTAAATGAAGCTGGGAAAATTTCCTACCTCACACCACACTGGGTTAGGAAATAAAAACAATATTCCAAATAATTCCATTCCAAATAATTCCATTCCAAATAATCACACTGATGTTTTATTGGGAATATTTTCAATTTAATCAAACACATCACTGATGTTTTATTGGGAATATTTTCAATTTAATCAAAAACACATTGTGCCTGCACGTGTTGCCACCACTAATTAAACAAAATAAATTTGAGTTGGATGATGAAAACTTGCTGATTTCTGTCACAATTTATTAAAAAAATATTGAATTTTAACGTAATTTGGGCTGGTTTGCAGATTTAGATTCCTTGTGGTATTTCTAGGTTTCTGTCCTTGTTGTGATTCCATTTCTGATCTGCTGCTGCTTAAAATAAAATATAAAACAGCCCTGGTTTTATGTTGTTATTTCTATTAATAGCTATATTTGTATTGTTTCTATTATTTTTATTTTGATTTCGAAATTTTAAAAATTAAATTGAGATAAGCACACCTTATCTCAAAAATATATTAATTTATACTAATATTCTTATTATTTTTGTTTTATTTTTATTTATAAATTGAAAAAACCACACCTTATCTCAAAAATACTTTATATTACTATTTATATTATTTTTTATTTCAAAATTTAAAAAATTAGAGATAAGCACACCTTATCTCCGAAATATATTATTTTATATTGTTATTTCTATTATTTTTATTTTAATTTTTTAAAAATTAAATTGAGATAAGCACAACTTCTCTCAAAAATATATTCTTTATTATATTATTTATATTTTTCTTTTATTTTTATTTCAAAATTTAAGAATTAAATTGAGATAAGCACACCTTATCTCAAAAATATATTAATTTATATTATTTTTATTTTATTTTTATGTTATTTTTATTTTAATTTCTAAATTGAAAAAAGCACACCTTATCTCAAAACTATATTAATTTATATTAGTACTTATATTCTTTTTGTTTTATTTTTATTTATAAATTGAAAAAAAGCACACCTTATCTCAAAAATACATTTCTTTATATTATTTTTCTTTTCTTTTGATCCAGAAATTGAAAAAATTCAGAAGGGTGAGACAACAAAGAAGGACGAGGAGGAGAATTACCTGGATTTATTTTCCCACAAGAACATGAAGCTGAAGGAACGAGTTCTGATCCCTGTCAAGCAATACCCCAAGGTGAGAGCCCCAAAAAAAACCAAAATCTTGGGAATTTTCTCATTTCCCTGGGATTTTGACTGGCAGAGCGGCAGCAGGAATTAAATCCTCATTTTCCACCAAAATTCAAGATATTTATTGTAAAAAAGGAAGGAGTTGCTTTGATCCCCTGCAAGCCTGCAGGGTTTTTATTTGTAATAAATGGAATTTTTCCAATATCTTGGGATAAGTGGTGGGATCTCGGATTGCTGGAGCAGAGAATTCTGTCTGTGGAGGGTTTTTTAGATTTTTTTACTTTTAATTCCTTAAAATTTGCTGGAAAGCTGCTGCAGAGTTGATGTTGGGATTGAAACAATTAATTTAGCTGCATCTTTCTGCTGGGGCTTTTATTTTTTTGAAAAGAAAGGTTTGAAATTTGAATTTTCTTTTCGAAACTTGAATTTTCCTTTTGAAACAACTTGAATTTTCTTTTTGAAAGGTAGATTTTCCTTTTGAACATTGAATTTTCCATTTGAAACAACTTGAATTTTCCTTTTGAAGCTTGAATTTTCCTTTTGAACTTTGAATTTTCATTTGAACCTTGAGTTTTCCTTTTGAAATAACTTGAATTTTCCTTTTGAAAAGTAAATTTTCCTTTTGAACCTTGCATTTTCCTTTTGAATCAACTTGAATTTTCCTTCTGAAAGTTAAATTTTCTTTTTGAACCTTAAATTTTTCTTTTGAACCAGCTTGAATTTTTCTTTTGAAAGTTAAATTTTCTTTTTGAAAGTTAAGTTTTTCTTTTGAAAGGTTAATTTTCCTTTCAAATCTTGAATTTGCCTTTCCAAACTTGAATTTTCTTTTCAAACCTTAAATTTTCCTTTTGAACCTTAAATTTTCTTTTCAAAACTTAAATTTTCCTGTGCATTTTTTCTATTTGTGAGGTGAGGAGAAAATTAAAAGTGATTTTTTTTTTTTTGTCAACTGCCAGAAAATTGAGAAAAATTTTGTTGGTGTTTTTGAGCCCTGGAACTGATTTTTTTTTTTTCTTTAATTTCCAGTTTAATTTTGTTGGGAAGATTTTGGGACCCCAAGGCAACACCATTAAGAGACTTCAGGAAGAAACTGGTGCTAAAATCTCTGTACTGGGGAAAGGTTCCATGAGAGACAAAGCCAAGGTAAGGGGAAACAAAATTCCATTTATGGTGTGAGAATTAAAGCATTTTATTCAAAATTCAACTAGAAAAAACTTCCAAGGAAAGATTGAATTAAAATTAAATTACTTTTAATTAAATTTAAAATTAAAATTGAAATTAAAATTAAATCTGTTATTTAATTAGAACTGAACAATTAGAATTAAAATTTAAAAAGTTAGAATTTTTAATTAGAATTAAGAAGTTGATAAAATAAGGATTATTCTCCTGAAGAGCCATTCACTGAAAGGATATTTTTTCCCCCTCTATAAAAATATAAAAATCCCTTTTTTAGCTGCTCCCTCTGAAATCTTTAAATTTTTCTGGTTCTCTGGAGATGTTGGAGCAATGTGATAATTTTTGGTGAATCACAAATTAGAAGGAGAGGGCTTTAAACAGCAAAAAATAATAAATACAATAAAAATAAATACAATAAAAATGGTACTAATAAAACTTCAAAAATAAGAAATAAAATACATTTAAAATTGAATAAAACAAAAATAATGAAAATAAAACTTAAAAAATTAATTCAATGAAATTAATACAATGAAATGTCAAAAATAAAATTAATTTTAAATATAGTGAAAATAAAATTCAAAAAATAAATTAAATAGAAATAATATAAATAAAAATTTAATAAAATAAAAATAATTAAAATAAGATGTAAAAAATAAAACTAATCAAATAAAAACAGTAAAAATAAAAATTTAGAAATGAATAATTTTAAATTGAATAAAATTAAAATAAAAATAAATTGTAAAAAATAAAATAAAAGAGTAAAAATAACATTAATAAAATAAAAATAGTAAAAAATAAAACATAAGAAGAAAATAAAATAATAAAAATAAAATGTAAGTAATAAAACTGTTAAAATAGTAAAAATAAAATAAAAATAATAAAAAATAAATAAAAATAATAAAAGTAAATTTAAAATTAAAATAAAAGTAATAAGAATAAATTTAGAAATAAAATAAAAAATAAAAAAAATTACAAATAAAATAAAAATAACAAAATTTAAATAAATGAAATTAAAATAATAAATGAAATTAAAATAATAAACATTAAATACATAAAATAAAAATAATAAAAATAAATTTAAGATAAAATAAAAATAGTAAAAATAAAATTTAAAATTAAAATAAAAATAATAAAATTTAAATAAAAGACATTAAAATAATACCAATTAAATAAATAAAATAAAAATAATTGTAAAATTTAAAACAAAAATAGTATAAACAAAAATTAAAAAATAAAATAAAAACAATGGAAATTAAATGAATGAAATTAAAATAATACAGATTAAATAAACAAAATAAAAATAATAAAAATACATTTCAAAAGAAACAAAAAACTAGAAATAAGTGCGATAAACCCCCGAGCCTGATCTCGCTGTTCCCGTCCCCGTGGGCTGTGCCAGGCTCCGTGCAGTGCCCCGTGCCCGTCTCAGGCTCTGTGTGCTCCCTGCAGGAGGAGGAGCTGCGCAAGGGCGGCGACCCCAAGTACGCGCACCTCAACATGGAGCTGCACGTCTTCATCGAGGTCTTCGGGCCGCCCTGCGAGGCCTACGGCCTCATGGCCCACGCCATGGAGGAGGTCAAGAAGTTCCTGGTGCCTGTGAGTGCCGGGGAGCGCTG